GGGTAGCGGCGACGACGAGGGGACGGGGGGGGGTAGGGCGAAAGAAAAAATAACCAAAATTAAAAATAACTAAAATATATATATATATATATATATATATATATAGGGGTAGGGTGGATGGGTAGTGCAATAAAACAAAAGAACAGAAAATTAAAAATACAAAAAAAAAAAAAAGTAAAATTGGGCAACTAAGTAAATTTCTAGATAAGTTGGGTGAGATCCCTTTGTTCTAGGTGAATTTCATAGGTTGTATTTGAGCTGCTTAATGGGTCAGAATGAGCTATAAAAAATAATGGGTAAACTTGGGCTCAGTCCAAATTAACCTATGAGCTAAAATATTTGTAGCCCAACTCATTAATCTCTGGGCGAGTTGGATGGGTTTGGGCTCAAATTGCCACCCCTAGTAGTGTATACTATCTAACCTATATAGTGGGGCAAAGGATAACTTTGTTTTAGACCATACCAACCTAAAAAGTCTTAGACAATGGTTGGTCCTACTGGTCCTTAGCAAATCATGAGATAACCTTTTACACTATATCCGTGAATAAATTAGTGATTTTTTCTTTCCTATACCATATATGAAATCCTATTACCAAAAATGTGCTTAGTTTCTAATTTACCCGCCCTATCCACATTTATTCTACAGTTATTATACCAATCAGTTAAATACAAATTAATAGTAGTTGAATCTTCCTAATTTGTCGAGCTAAAATTGAGAAACAGAATATTCTAAAAAGATTTGGCGTAAATCAGATCAAATCATATTCTTCCAGATATTCCTATTTAGGCGCGCTACAATTATGGAAGTAAATATTCTTCCAGATATTTTCCACCATTGATAGCCATTAAAAAGCTTGAAAGCTTTGAATTCAAATTTGGGTTTTCAAAAATCATTATTTGTTTGGATTGGGTGTTGTTGAAAATAATCGGGAATATGGTTTGGAGTTTATATCTCAATTTTGAGGGGTTTTGGTGAAGATTAGACTTGATTTTGACTGAAATTCAGATTGAAACTCGAAGAAGAAGAAGAAGAAGAAGAAGAAGAAGAAGAAGAAGAAGAAGAAGACATTGCAGAAATTGTAGATAAATTTTAGATTATTTGTATTCTGATTGTAGATGCTTTATTTTCTGTTTTCACAAATAAAAAACGGCTAAAACTTCTACAAATCTTCTGAAAAAACGTAATTATGTCAAAAATTACAATTATGCTACAATTGGATGGGAATTGGGATATAAAAATTCAATGTACCCAGTTTGTAGATATTTTGTAGATAAATTGTAGATTATTTGTATTCTAATTGTAGGTGCTTTGTTTTCTGTTTTCACAAATAAAAAACTACTAAAACTTCTACAAATCTTCTGCAAAAAATGCAATTATGTCGAAAATTCCAATTATGTTACAATTGAAATGAGAATTGGGATATTAAAATTCAATGTATCCAGTTTGTAGATATTTTGTAGATAAATTGTAGATTATTTGTATTCTGATTGTAGATGCATTGTTTTCTGTTTTCACAAATCCAAAACGACTAAAACTTCTACAAAATCTTCTGCACAATTTATCTACAATTTATCTACAGTTTCTGCAATATGTCTTCTTCTTCTTCTTCTTCGAGTTTCAATCTGAATTTCAGTCAAAACCAAGTCTAATCTTCACCAAAACCCCTCAAAATTGAGATATAAACTCCAAAACATATTCCCAATTATTTTCAACAACACCCAATCAAAATAAATACTCCCTCCGTTCCAATTTATGTGAACCTGTTTGACTGGGCACGGAGTTTAAGAAAAAGCGAAGACTTTTGAAATTTGTGGTCCTAAACAAGTCAAAAAGGGGCCCAGAATATTTGTGTGGTTATAAAAGCTTCTCATTAAGGGTAGAATTGTAAGTTTAAGCTAAATTGTTTCTAAATTTAGAAAGTGTCCATTCTTTTTGGAACGAACCAAAAGGAAATAGGTTCACATAAACTGGAACGGAGGGAGTAATGATTTTTGAAAACCCAAATTTAAATTCAAAGCTTCAAAGCTTTTTAATGGCTGTCAATGGTGGAATTGCTGCTCTCTTGTCTCTTTGAAGGTTTGTTCTTCTTCATTGAGAAAATTTGAAGCTGAAGGTCAATGTGTGTATGAACTTTGAAGATTTGACTTCAATTTTGATGAACTTTGTTGTTCTTCATTGATGAACTTCAACTAGAGTAAAATGGGGAACCAACTTTGTTGAAGGGTTTCTTCAATTTTCTGTGAATTTAGAGGGAGAATTTTGTTTTAGAGATTGGAAAATGGTAAAAGAACGTGGGTATGGTAAACGTGGGTGGACTGAGGGTTAGGAGAGAGAAAACTTGCAAGATTCCTTTAAATTAAAGGAGTAAAAAATGTACAATTTAATTATACCTTAATAATTATTGGTATAAGAATTGCGTAATTGTAAACTAAGTGTAAATTAAGTCAAACCTTAAACATTGAGGGTAATAAGATTTCCTAAATGTGGCATAGGAATGTAAAAATCTCAATGAGAGCATTATGTAATCTTGTAATATCGAGTACTCACCAAGCTCTGTTTTAAAAGCAGAATTGAGACTCGCCCGGGGAATCGCCCCGGGGCGGAAGCACTCGTAACGCCCCCTGGCTTATTTGTGGGGCTTAGTTCGTGAGACTTACGCCTCATCCATCAGGGCTTACCGCCCCAGGGCACGCCCAACGCCCACGTAACTGGGCTCGCCTAATAGAACTTTTATACATTGTATGTAACTAAGCTTGTTAATCCTCAAATGTTTCTTAAAAATCGTTGACTATTCAAATTACTTTTTTCTTAATCATAAATCATTAAGTTGAGAGTATTTTATGTCATAATTAAATATAAAAATTATTGCATGTTATCCACTAAGATTGCTATGTGGTAATATTAAATAAAATCTTTCATTTAAAAAAGTATTTATTTTATTAACTTGTTTTGTACTTTTTACTATAGTAAGTCTGTAATTTTTTCATAATTATTTTTTCAAATAATTATTTTTTTCACTGTTACGAGATACAAATACTTATTAATTTAAAATAGCTCATTATAGCTAGTAACTTTTTAACAAATTAATTAGTTATCATGGTATTGTATGGTGAAATTATATGTCACTTTATTAACACTTGTTCAAACTTAAAAATAAATGATCTAGAGAATCATATTTAAATTGTGAGTTATGTTTTTAATATAAATGTTCTTTTCAAAATAGAAGATATTCAAATAAAAGGAGTAGTTTAAAGAAAAATATCAAATTATAATATCGAAATTCTTTCAAGATTTATTACTCCTTAAGAGATACATATAAGATTTTGTATCAAATACATTACTTTTGATGTTTGAGTTGTAACGGCGTTGCAGCTAATTTGCGATATATGTCATACTTTTCATATTATCATAGTTGAATTATAAATTATAAATATTTTAAATAGATTATTTATTTTAGTTTTATGATTTTAATATAATTTTTATAATTATTTTTTATTTTATGCTATCTTAAAATTCTTGAAATTAGTAAAATTTAAAGATCCATGGGACTTACGCCCCATGTCTCGGGGCTTACGCCTAGTCTCACGCCCTCGCCTTTTAAAACATTGCTCACCAGTAATGTAGACACTTTTTATGACGGTGATGTCCGAACCAGTTTGCTCGCACCCCAATTAATTCTACCGGATATCTCCAACCAGCACAAGTACCCAATAACTTTATCTACCAAGGCTTAAATTAAGCGGAAGAGATCGCCCAATAGAATTTGAACCTACTACCTAATAATTCTCTTTTAACTTCATTAACCACTAGGTCACACCCTTAGGTGCCTTAAAAACACCTTATAATCAAAAAACCGGTTCCAAAATTGCTACTCCTTTCGTTTCAATTTAAATGACATACTTTTCTTATTAGTCCGTTCCAAAAAGAATGACACATATCTATATTGAAAACAATTTCTTTAAACTCTTCATTTTACCCACTTTATCCTTAATAAAAAGTTTTTATAATAACCAAATATCATGGTCCCACAAAATTTTTGCCCCTTGAGCTTTCAGGACCACATTTCAAAAGTTTCCTTATTTTTCATCTAAAGAAAGGGAGTAAAGAATAAGGTGGGGACCTGAGATTCTCAGCAACGGGGTGGCCAATAAGATTTCTGGCCCACAGGATTGGTGTTTCGACTGAAAAAGTTGATATCCTCCCTGATAATAATCTAGGCTATTCTACAATAACCAGATACAAGAGTTTATCAACGGCAAATGCGAACAAGTCAGTCAGCATTAAGGTACAGCTTGGTGAAAATGTCAAAATTTTGCTTCCTAAGAGGAAGAAATGAGAAATTTGAATGAATCAAGATACAAATTAGAAAGAACAAAAAATTGAATAAACATTCACAGGAGTCAAACAAAGGTTAAGAACCATTTGGTTCAATAATATCATGAGCTCTCCACTCGACTTCGTTTTGCAGAAATATGACCATTTTCTTTGGATGTGTTGTCCAGCACTGCAGTATTATCCTCATCCTTCAATTTGAAAGTCCAACCCGGAAAATCTGACTCCGAAAATAAGTTAGTTGGAGTTGCTGTGTAGAATGCAAGGGGAACCTGTTTAACTCGTCTCCTAATCTGCAACAAAGTATTAATGTTAGAATGCCATTACATGGAACATTAACGGATACAATAAAAGGCGGTAGATGGTCAGCACACAATGAGACAGGGAGCTAAAAATGCTAAAACCAGTAAAAAGAATGTCAAAAACCTAAAATACTAGAAGAGATTTAATCCACTATGAACCCAAAAGAGAAATGGAAAAGCGACTAAGGCCAAGCGAGACACTTCATTGGTTATACAAGCAAACATAATAGAGAAGACTACCGTCAAGCAATTGCAGCAATTTTTTTTAAAAAAAAAAAAAAGAAAAAGTGTTATCAACCAGTAAGTGGATGATTAAAACCAAAACAAATATAGTTACTTAATGAGCATTACCTCATCACCAAAAATCGTCGCATATGAACCAGAACTGAAATCTTTGACTGCTACTTCAGTAGTTTTAGCTCTGATCGTCAAATCATTCTCAAGGGATAAAACAAATCTAACAACACATGAAAGAAAAAAGGAAGACTTAGTTGAAAAGCACAATTGAACTAACCAGAAATGCACATTAACACAGCGAAAACTATAATTATCATACCTTGAAACCGGTGGGCAGTAGTGATGACGGAGAGTTTCAACCTCCCATAGAGAGCTCCCTGTGGAATGAGAATTTAACACATCACCTTTGCCAAGAATAGTGTTTTAAACAAGGAAATCAAAACTTTACACTGAGGAAGCGCCCACTTTTATACCTTACAAATATCCCAACAACCAAAACATTTCAAATGACTAAAGCAAAAACACTGGGATTGAAGGTCCAGAAAACTTAACATCCACCTAAAGTTACAGCTAATAAACAAAAGTTGAAATGCCAAAAGAAAAACATTTACATTTATTCTCAACACATTTGCAAAGGTCATGCATCTAAGAAAGGCCAAGTAATTCCTCGGCCACCCCTTTTCACCCAAAGAAGATAGAAAAGTTTTCTCAGCCGGAAAAAAAAAATTAAAAATAATAATAATAATAAACGAATAAATAGACAAGTACCAATTTGAGTTGACTTGGGACTTTGAAAAGCCCTTTAACTGATTAGAAAGAAAAAAGGAGATGGCAAAATGCATGACACTACACTGGTTGAATAACTGGAGCTTACAGTTGTAAAGTCTTGCCAATGCCTTTTCAACTCAATTAGAAAGAAACAAGAAGAGATATAGGAGAGATGCATGAGAATGTGACAGCTGAATGAATGAACTTTATAAATACGGCAACTCATGAAACAAGAAAATTACTCATTGCGTTAGCCTTCAACAGATCAGTCTGCTTGTCATCAAAAAGATCAATGCCAGGCTTGATGTTTGATATTTCTCTGCTGGCACTGGAGTCCTCGATGCTGTCATCAGTCTCCCTCTCTGCTTCTGTAATGTCTTTCGTAGTCTCATTACCATCCTCCTACAAAGAATTTTATCTCAAATAAGCTTTTGATCCTCTACAGGCATGAATGGAACACTTGTACAACTTTAACAGTGGTAAGGAAGCAGGCAGAAAACATTACTATGACATTTTCCAGCCAGAAATGATTTGCACTTTTGAGTGTCATCCAACAAAAGTAACTACTCCTCAATCCCAAACTAGTTGGGGTCAACTATATGAATGTTGTACATCCATCCCGCTCTATTTAGATCTGTTTTACTCAACTACTTAATAGTTTGTCGTTTACACGAACTAGCAGGCTCTAAGTTTCACCTTATCTCCTCACTGTCCCACATAGATACGACATCTCAAAGAATGACTTCAGCAGAAAAAAGGGCAAGACCCCATAGCCTTACCTGGTGCACCAAGCAATTTATTGAAGGATGTCTCCTTAAGAGATTATGAATTAGAGCAACAATGACTAATGCTCCTGAAGGAGGGACAGCGAGCGAAAGCCGACTGAGTTTTTTACAAAAAGCAGCCGCCAAATATGCAGGAAGAAGTGGTGATTTCAGGCACGAATCAAGAAGCTGCAAGTAACATTTTGCAGTTAGTGTCCATAAACATAATAACTAGATCTACAATATTACAGCATATTGAAAAAGATATTTCCATCAAGATCAATAAAGCAAATTATTTTACAAGTAAATGATGTTGTACTGACAGCTTCTGAACATTTTATTGCTCAGGAATCAGCTGAATTTTCAATGAGCAATACACGAAATAGTTCAGGTATCCCTTTTTTCTGCTTGATAACATCAGTTCAGTATGCATACTTGATAGAAGCAATGACGAAACTACGATGAACATTATGAACCTGAAAGAGCAGACTTCAACTTCCCCAACTACAGAAATGACAGTTATCCAACTAAAACCATATGCAGAAAACATAGCATATGCAGAACATTTCCAAGAGAGATTGTGGTTGCTTGCATGTTAATTGTACTCTTCAGGAAAACATCACATACAAGCAGACAGTAATTAACACTTCCATGGAAGTGTACAGCAAAAGATACAATTTATTCCGGCCGAAAGCACTTGCCCTCAGGGGGGAATTCATGTTACATATGGGAGATCTATAGCAGCTCAAGTCAATCAGCACTTAAACCAAAACCCACTAAGCATAAATTATAATCCCCCAAAACAGATTTGATAGTCTGATAGTCCGAATAGTAAACCAATACAAAGAGGGGAAAGCAAAGTTTTTGATATTACCTGAAAGAACTTAGCCCTATGCTTTGCCATAAAAATGGAGGGTTCCAATAGAGCATAAAGCTTTTCATAGAAGTTGGGGTATTCAAGACCATGTTGTGTCATGAGAACAAACAAGCTGCTAAGAGCCATCACACTGACTACCCCACCAATATCATACGACCGTGTTAAAAAATCACTGCATATGAAAAGGTACTGCAGTCACTCAACAAGGATTATCAAGTCTGAAAGAATAGAATTAGTACAAGAACAAGAAAAAGGTACAACGTATTACCACAACATGAGAGGATTAGACAGATACGGAATAACAACTTGATGAAGGTTCACCAGAACCTGAGATCAGAAAGCAAAAGAGAATGTTATAGAAGCGATATCGTCATAACTATCGTGTTTCAGGAGTAAAAAAACAGAATTTAATCACAAAAGCTTGCTTTGGAGTAATCAAGAATTCGTTACCTTATAAACAAAAGAATAGGTAGATGGTACCAGCAAAGGAGTTACAGATGGAAAAATGAAAATTTTACTACCACTTCAACCAAATCTTTTAGAGGATCTAAAGCAGAATTCAACAACAACAACAACAACAAACCCAGTATGTTCCCACCAGGTGGGGTCTGTGGAGAGTAGTATGTATGTAGACCTTACCCCTACCTAACAGGTAGAGAGGCTGTTTCCAATAATTAAATGTGAAATAGATTTACTCCACCGTCCCATAATTTTTTCCCCATCAAAGGCTGGTTGAGGTTGTTCAAAGCCATATTTACATATCACAACTTTGCACAGTTTCATGATAAAAATACATTCATGAAATATGCAACTATCATATAGAGGGACTATTAGCCATAGGACGAATATCTATATCTTCACTTAAACATGCTCTGCACTGTAAAACTTTAAAAGTCAAATCAAAATCAAGTGTAATATGACAGCATCACTTACCACAACTTGAATCAAGAGATACTGGATAAGAAGAGAAAGAGCAGAGATCATAAGCAGTACAAAAGACAACAAGCACAAGACCTTGTTCCAACAGATAAAATGGATATCCAGTCAATGGAACTGTTTATTTACCTCTTTGTAAACATCAATTGGAAGTGGTAATCTAAGGAATGATATCCAGGCTTTAGTAAATTTCAGTTTCATCTTTTTTGCAATATTGGCTGGAGATACCTGAAGATTACAAAGTACTTAAAACATTAGCTAGCTTGAAAACACAAAGAATCAGCAGATGTCCTTGCAGAACAATCCAACAATGTGAGGTACACAGAGGAAAATGTCCTTTTTTCTTCTTCATTTTTTTTACATATCACAAGGTGTTTCACTAGATACCTTGATATTAGAGGATTCATCCTTGCATTGCTTTCCGCTATGTCCTTTGTCATTCTCTTTCCCAGCAAATATACCTAAATCCACATAAATATAAGATCACAGCAAAGAGAAGCAATAAGACACAAACATTTAGTATAGGACATATTACAAGCATTGCAAAGAAAATGATACGAACAGCTTGCTTTAGGTCTGAAATGGTAAAAACTAAAAACTGCTAAAACTGAAATTGGACAATCCTGCTTAAGGGATATTTCAAAAATCAAAATCAAATAGAGTGATATATGCATCTTATACGTATCGCAGCTATGTATTCGGGTATTATTAAAAATATAACATGATGCCATTTGTGCAGGTTCTCTGCCTTTCAGAATACAGCTTGTATATGGGATTTCCCCATCATTAGTATATTTGTTTACCTTATCCCAAAGAAAACAATGTGAGGCATTTAATCTAGAAAGATTTGATCTTTCATCAAACTACAAGCTTTGGATTTTAGTAGCTAGGTTAATAAAAGAGAGGAATCTAATTAGGAGGCTCATCAAACTTCCTAGTTCCCAAAGTTCTGCTTCCAACTACCGATGAGAAAGCTTGGACGTATAGCAATTATCCTAGACAACAACGACGACAACCCTATAAAATTCCACTAGTGGGGTCCGGGAAGGGTAGTGTGCACGCAGACCTTACCCCACCCCGAGGGAGTAGAGAGGTTGTTTCCGATAAACCCTCGGCTCAAGAAGAAGAAAAGAGGCAATATATTAGTACCATCAACAGAAACCATAAAAAAGTAACAGCATCACAAGAACCAGAAAATAGATGAAAAGCAAAACAATAACCAGTAAATAAGACCCGACACTATGAAAAACGGAAGAATAGTATGAACACAACATTTACCACTAGCAGTCTAAGACAAAATCCTATGAGACTAGCCTCGCTCTGGTACGAAGTAGAAATATGCTCAACTACCTCCTAACCTACAACCTTAATGCTCGATCTCCACAACTTCCTATCAAGGGTGATGTCCTCAGTAATCTGAAGTCACACCATGTCCTGCCTGATCACCTCCCCCCAATACTTCTTAGGCGCCCTCTACCTCCTAACATACCTACCAAAGCCAGCCGAGCGCACCTCCTAGACAACAAACAAAATTAAACCCAAAAAAAATTGAAATACCACAAAGACCAAGCTGAAATGGTTGTTTGTTCTTTTCCTTCAACTACTTCTCGTAACAAAATTCTTTTGGACAATCAAGACTCATTTTATCCTTTTCAATATATTGGGAGCTCAAATACCAATATTTGACGAGGATTGCTACTACCTTTTTCGATGAAACCCTACTGAGACTGCTATTTCCCATAAAGCCAATAGAACAGATGCATTATGTAGGAACGTGATAAAAGAAACACCTTTTATAAAACAAGGGGCTAAAAGCGCGTACACTCAAAATGCAATCAAACAAAAATACCTCAAACTCAAACAAGTTGGGGTCTACCATGTAAATCCGCTATTGTCCATTTTGGCTTATTAGACCCACATTCTATTCAGAGGATTCATCATAATTAGATTGTTTTACCCTGACCGTCAACCCATCACAACCCCCACCCTTTATACGGTCTTCAGACCGACTTACTTCGGAAACTATATAAAGCAAAAACAAAAATAGCAAATACCCGAATTCAATTCAGATGTAGGATACCTATCCAGAAGTTTTCGCAACTCAATCATAGATGGCGGAATCATCAAAGATTTGACCTTTTCGAATCTTTTCAATCCATAATAACAGTTGACATACATTGGTAAAAACTTACAAAAAATTATTTGTTCGCAAGAAGTGATTGAACAACAATAATTAGAAAAAACAACATTTGCAAAGATGAGTTGTGAAATTTGCTAGGACAAACATTCTTCCATATATCAGAAGCAGATGTCAAATACAGATGAAGCTCTAAGTCAGGATTCAACAATTGGTTAAGTTACTAACCTGCACCATTCCACATATCATATTCTGATTTTCCATCTGAACCTTCCAGGGGAGGGATACGAGAGAGTAGATGATATAACTTGTGAGTTGAGAGGGCCAAGCTTTAAATTAAATCAAGAAAAGCAAAGTTAAAAAAGGAGAATGTTGAGTACAACATTTGGACACTAACAAACTAGAACTTTCTGGGTATTGACTAAAAGGAAGAATTGCTTCTATAAGTTGAAAGGAGATGTGGCACACCGAACCAAAAAAAACCATCATATAGACTTCGAGAAAAATTGACTAGCAAAGTATTTAATATGCAGTAGAGTTTAGAAACATTTCAGGATAAGGATTAAAAAGAAAAGACTTCTACAGTAAACTAAATAGTTAGAAAAATATCCTGAATCTAAAAAGGTGATAAAACAGAGTACAAAGCCAAAAATAAATAAAAAAAAATAAAAAATAAAAAGAGAACAGCTTGCCAAAGCAACCATTTCCAAATCTCTAAGTTCTGCAAATACTGTGTCATGAAGATAAACTTGGCAAATACTAGTATACGTTTCTCTACCATCCTAGCTATCTGTATATTCAGTTTAGGGGTGCCACTTTAAAATTTAAGAAAAATGAAAAGTAATTCTAAACTTATCCTTTTAAGCAAGTAAAAGGATCAACGAACAAACAGTTTCTGGATAAATAAATCAACCTGAAGCATCAAAAGCAGGTGACATAATCGTAGTGCAACAACATTAGTTGCCTTCACTTTCTGTAGCTCAATTATCTACCATAGTTAATGAAATGCTGTTGAAACAATCAGCATCCAATATAAAAAGAAAAATAGTTAACACATTATTTGTGTAGGAAAAAATGTTGCATTGTCCAAGTGATAAAAGAGTGTGTTGTCCATTAAATAATTGCTCATTGAAGGCAATCAGCATCACTCGGATAACTAAAACCAACCTTGATTTTGGCTTGTCCACATCGATGGTGTCTGGGCTCTCATTTTTATCATCTGATGGTGGAAACACCAAAAAGGCATGAAAACAAGTTCAAGAAAAATAGAGGAGGTAAAGACAGGATATCAGTGATACCAGAGATATCTATGGCTTCTACAGTTCGAGAAAGCTTCTCCATGCTGATATAAGTAAAATATCTGATGAAAGAAGCCAACAAATCAGCATAACCTGTAAAAATGTATCTGCTAATCGTATATTTGAAATGCTAAGCTGATTAACAGGAAAGCAACCAACAGGATCAAGGGAGCAAACAGACAGAACTATATGAATTTTTATTGAAGTCTTAGCATATGGAAGTGTATCTTAGCCATGCTAAAAGTAGAATTAAGAAATTCCACTACTTCCCTTCTCCTTAAAATCTCCTACTTTTACTCAACCACCCCCCCCCCCCCCAAACCCCGGAAAAAAAACACACACTCACACGCAAGTAAACATAATCATTTGAGGACATAGTCATCATACCGGATATCAATGTACTTAAAATACTTTGATGCCAGCAATTCAGGCAAAATATCATCGACCCCGAGAGAGGAATGAACCTGCAACATTTTAAGACAAACAAACTATCTTCAATAACAGAACCAGTGAAACAACAAAGCAGTGGCCAATATATTTATTCAAACGTTGTATTCCAAACTAATATACAGTACAAAACTATACATTATGAAACGATGGGTAACCACCATCCAAATAAGCTGTAACTTACAAAGATATGAAGAAGCCTGTGGTAAATGGCAGAGTGAAACTTCCCACCATTTCCAACTTTCACAAACTCCATCAACGTGTCCAACACAACTTCCTAATCACCCAATATACAATTAACACACATATTATACCCTTGAAATTAGACAATTTAAAACAAAAAATTAACAGTCGAACTTGTCCTTACTCTAAGTGCTTCATCGGATTGCGAACAGGTAGCAATATCCAGTAGGGATTGAACGAAGTCGTCAAACTTGGAACGAACCCATATTCGATAAATGAACTCCGGATCATTTTGGGAGTCTGAGGAGGAGACGGAAGAAGAAGGGAGTTGAGGAAGCAAAGGAGTGAAGAAGGATTGAAGAGAAAGTAGAGATTCGAGGGCGTATTGCGGTCGAGTGGTGGGTGTGATAAACGAGAGGAGGAGAGGAAGATTGTTGACGTGGGCTCTTGAAGAAAGAAGCTGATGACCTAGGGTTTTGAGTTCTGATAATGAGTATTTGTCACTCTTTTTCTGCTTCTTTGATAATGTAGAAGAAGCCATGGATGAGTCTGCTGCTTTTGATTATTTGATTTGGTTCTAACTTGTTAAATGCAAATTAGTGTAGCAAATTGAGCTATGACAAGCAAATAAGTTTGAATTGAAATCTGCTTTGGTTTATGACAAAGGAGAAATCATTCAGAGATAAAGGGAGAAAAGGAGAAACAAACAGTTCGATTCTGCAGAAATAGAGAAGAAGAGGAAGTTTGCAGGGAAGGGTTTAGCAACTGGGTTTAAGGTGGAACAACAACTATTTGGGCTCTAGTACATCCAGCCCGCTATAGGCAAGGCTTGGGCCAAGTCCTTTCAAATATGGGCAACCCGGTCGGCCCAAACTAATTATATTTCCTTGCCACAAAATATAAACTATGTATATTATATATATATTATATATATATATATATATATATATATATATATATATATTATCAGCTATTATTTTATGAAGCGGCTAAAAAATACATTTATCTTCAAATACTATACGCTTTAAATATTTTGGGGATATTTATATAAATAGTCGGTCAGATTCACTATTTACTTTATCTAGTCGATGTACATAGATATATATTGATAATATACGGTATATACATATTATACATATATCACATTTACTGGCTATTTTTAATTTATGCAGCTGGATGGACGGCTATTTAGGTTAATTCTTCTTCTTTTTTCATACTTTCTCACTCTATACAATCCAACCTTCTTTTTTCTTTTTCTTTTTTTAACTAAGGTTACACATTTTCAGACATTAATTCTTCAAGTTTTTTAATTAAGAGGCGTGTACTGAACTTATCATTTAACCAATGCTATGTTCAACTGTAAGAAAATAAAATATTGTTCAAGTATGAAAATACTTCTTTATCAATTTAATAGAATGGTAAAGAATATGAAACCATTATATAATGCATACTTTATCTAAAAATGACTTAACTCCATTAAAACAGTAAATAGAATTAAGAATTGAGTGCATCAAATTTTGTTTCTTTCCGTCAGGCAATGTTAAATAACTATAAAACAGAAAAAGACATTCTTTGAGATATAGCACATTAATTTTTTACATGAACTAGTACATAAAGTAGACATTCTTTCCAAAAATTCTTTCAAGTCTCAGACTATTGGAATTATAGCTATGTTAATCATGTAAATGCTATGTTGCGGGGACTTTCTAAATGATGCCGCACCCGTGTCGGATCTTTTAAAAATATATTATTTTTGAAGAATCCGACACGCACCCGGCAAAATTTTTAGCGAGTCCGAGCAACATAGTGTAAATGTGAACCAGCATACATTGCTAATTTGTAAGTGTGACTTACTAGTTGCAGAAGCGAGAGGCTAGATATAGGAATAGTCTATTCAAAAAAGAATAGCACAATTTCTTGTTTCCTTTAATGAGATGTTCTTATATAAAATGTTATACCATAGTATTTGTTTGACCAAGTATTAACTTTCGGTTAAACTATTATATATTATGTAATGAAGGGTTAAATATAGTTATTGATAATATCTCTAGATATAGATCTTGAAAGCACGGATAACGTAGGATTGAATTAGTGGGAAATTGACAGTAATATACATTTAATATTCCAGAAGGTATGGGCAATAATGAAGGAGTAACTAGCAATAAATAACAATAAATGATATTTAAGTAAATAGGAGGAGTGATTCACCCAATAATGAATGAACTAGATGATTGTTCCTCCTGACAATGATGAGTGACAGATAAATCCTAGAATGTTCGGACTATTCTTGGATCTGACGGAAAAGTATGGAATAATGTATGCAAGAATATTGATGAAAAAGTCAAGTTTGTAGCTTTGTTCATACACTTTGAGAAATTTACATGTTTTTCCAGGCATTGGCCGGCGTTCCAGTCCCAGTCTATTTAGTCCCTTTATTGGTCGGGCGGGAGAAATCTTGAGCGGTCGAGCAATGAACTAGCCGTCCTTTGCCTCCGTCTGTTCACACTTCAACTTGGTGTGTCCCCTTCGTTGCCTCGTCAAAAACCTCCTTGAAAAACCCCAATTGGGACAAAACTCAAGTGAGTGAAAAAAGAGTACGACTTGGAGGACACTTTTTCTTAAAAGTTGAAGTACTCGAGGTGGGTGATATTCCAGTTGTTTGACAGTAGCTTTCCTTCCCTTGTTTCTAGTTGGAATGATCTTTTATTTGCTGTTGCCATGATTTTGTATGGGCCGTCCCAATTTGTTCCCAGTTTACCTTCCCATGGGTCTTTGGTTGCTTGTGTTTTAGCTGAGCACGTAGTCCCCGACTTCGAGCGATCTGACCTTTGCCTTTTTGTTATAATAGCGTTCTGCTTGTTGTTTTTGGGCGATCATCCTTATGTAGGCCATATCCCTTCGTTCTTCGACTTCGTCGAGCTCTTGTCTTCTGCTTTTGTCGTTCCTCGGCCCACTCTCGTGGGAGTATCTCAGACCGGGTTCTCCGACTTCGACCGATATTACAGCATCAGTCCCATAGACTAATCAGTAAGGCGTCTCTCCTATGCTCGTCTTTGGCATTGTTCGGTAAGTCTAGAGCACTTCTGGTAGTAATTCCGGCCATTGCCCCTTGGCGTCTTCGAGTTTTTTCTTCAAGATGTTCAGTATCGATTTGTTGGAGGACTCCGCTTGCCCGTTACTCCAGGGGTGATACAGTGTTGAGAGTATTCTTTTGATATGCCATTTCTCAAAAATTCGGTGACCTTTTTTCCTGTAAATTGGGGTCCTTTATCGCAACTGATCTCTTTGGGAAGGCCGAAACGCCATACGATGTTTTTCCATATGAAGGCGATCACTTCCTATTCGTGTATTGGGCGAATTCTCCTGCGTCTACCTATTAGAGAAATAATCAGTTAAAACCAAAAGAAAACATACGTTACCTCGCCCCGCCGGGAGGGGGCCTACGATGTATATTCCCCATTTGATGAACGGCCAAGGGGAAGTGACTAAGTGGAGGTGCTCGCCTGCTTAGTGGATCATTGGGGGGTACTTTTGGCACTGCTCGCATTTTTTCACAAAATCTACGGCCTCTTTTTTCATGGTGGGCCAGTAATACCCTGCCCGTATGAGGTATCTGACCAAAGCCCGATTTCCGGAATGAGCTCCGCAGTGGCCTTCGTGGACCTCTTCAAGGACGCACCGTGTTTGATTTGGGTCCAGTCATTTCGCCAGAGGGCCGCCATATATTCTCTTGTACATGTCGTTGTGAATGATGTTGTACCTAGCTATATGCATTCGTAATGTCTTGGCCTCTTTTTTATCAATTGGAAGTACGCCGTCATGCAAGTATGTAGCAAGACGGCTGCATCAGTCCCAGGTCAGGTTTATGGTTCTTACCTCGATTAGATCTATCGATGAGTTGAGAAGGTGGACTAGACTTCTGTCTCCAGTTGCGATGTTTTTGGTTGTTGCTGTTAATTTGGCGAGGCCGTCCACCTCGGCATTCTGTGCTCGGGGGATCTGGTCGAGTTAACATTCGTCGAACTCGGGCAGCAGCTTGCAGATTTCGGTTTGGTATTTTTGTAACCTTTGTTCCTTGATTTGGAAAGTCCCTATGACTTGATTGACCACGAGTTGAGAATCGCAGCATAGTCTCAACCGTTTTGCCCCGTATTTAAGCACCAGCCTTAAGCCTGCAATTACGGCCTCATACTCGGCCTCATTTTTAGTCATATCCAGGCATTTTATGGATTGGAGAATCAATTCGCCGGTGGAGACTTCGAGTACGAGTCCCAGTCCGGATCCCGACGCATTGGATGAGTCGTCGGTGTACAGGACCCAGAGGTCTTATGTTTGGGGAGAAGCATGGACATCTTCTCTTTCAAATTCGGGTATTATTTTTGGGCTGAAATCGACGATGAAGTCTGCAAGTACTTGCGACTTTATCGTTGTTCGCAACAAATATGTGATATCGTGCTCGCTCAGTTCGATGGCCCATTTGGCCAATTTGCTTGATAGCTCAGGTTTATGCAAAATGCTTCTTAAGGGGAAAGTAGTGACGATCGAGATGAGGTGGCATTGGAAATACGGTCTAAGCTTTCATGAAGCTATGACCAAGCCAGAGCTAGTTTCTCGAGGTGAGGGTGTCTCGTCTCGGTGTTGATAATGTTTTGCTAATGTAATAGATGGGAGACTCCGTACCTATGCTTTCTCGGGCTAGGACTGCGCTCATAGCTACTTTAGATACGGCGAGGTAGACGAGCATACGTTCCCCCGGCTCTGGTTTTGAAAGCAGTGGTGGCGATGACAAGTATGTTTTTAGTTCCTTCAGGGCTTGAACGCACTCTGAAGTCCATTAGAGGCCATTATCTTTCTTGAGCACACTGAAGAATTTGTGACACCTATCCGATGATCACGAGATGAACCAATGGGCAGCGACACGGCCATTCAACCTCTGAACCTATTTTTTGGTGGGCAAGTGCTCGGGTATCCTTAAATGGCTTTGATCTAATCGGGGTTGACCTCGATACCTCGCTGTGACACTAGGAAACCTAAGAATTTTCCTGAGGCCACACCGAATGCACACTTTTTGGGGTTCAGTTTCATTCCGTACTGTCTGAGTATGCCAAAGGTTTTTCTCAAGTGGTCGATGTGGTCGTCTTTCCTTTCGGACTTGACCAACATGTCGTCTATGTAGACCTCCATCATTTTACTGAGTTGGTCTTTGAACATCTTTATTACTAACCTTTGGTACGTTGCCCCTACATTTTTTCAGTCCGAAGGGCATGACTTTGTAGCAGTACGTCCCCTGATGGGTGATGAAAGTGGTTTTCTCCTGATCCTCCTCTTCCATGAGGATCTGATTATAGCCTGAGTAGGCTCCAAAAAACTCAGCAGTTCATGCCCGGCCGTTGTGTCGATGAGTTGGTCGATGTGAGGTAAAGGAAATGAATCCTTGGGGCATGCTTTATTCAAATCTGTAAAGTCTACGCACATTCACCACTTCCCGTTTTTCTTTTTTACCATGACCACATTGGTGACCCATTGGGGGTATTTTGACTCTTTGACGGAGCCTTTCTCCATAATTTTTCGACCTCTTCGCGTACTGCATCATTGATTGCGGAGTTGAACTTACGCTGAACCTGTCTCAGCGGGGGTGGAATGGATCAACGTTCAATTTGTGTGTGGCGATTTCCTTTGGAATTCCTGGCATATCTACATGGCTAAAAGCAAACAAGTCCGCGTTAGTAGTTAAGACTCGATGAAATTTACTTGGTTCCTGAAGT